AGAAGTAGTCCGCGGAGGCACTGAGTCAATAGTCAGTCAACACGGAGAATTTGCCATACCGCATTCCATTTTTAGTTCAGTTGTGCAAATAGTACACTACAGGGATACATTTTCAAGCGGCTCGCCAGCACCCGGGAAAACTGACGGGTCGAGGGGACCCCGGGGCCATCGGGTCATCGGGGGCTCGGCCGGCTGGGCACGCTGTGGGAACGACCCGCCCTGCGCACGGCCTGTGGGCCACTGGGTCCAGCGCTGCGCGTGTCCGCGTGTGGGCGTGCCCTCGTGTGTGCACGTGCACGCGTGACTGACGAGTGGGTGGTGCCGCGCTGACCAGCCGCTGCGCCCGGGCCCGCCGCCAGGTGGTGTGCGGCTGAAGCTGGCGCGCTACGTCAGCGGCCCCAAGTACGACCAGCTAAAGCAGGCCATCGCCAGGACGGAGACGAGCACGGCGAGCGAGCTGGCCGGCCGCGGCGCGGCCGCGCGGACAGCAGGTGGGCCGCCGCCAAGCCGCCCGGCTGGTGCAGGGTTGCTGTTACCGGCAGTGGGGGTCGCCGGAGATGGGCAGCCGCTGGTGCACAGTGCAGAATAGACGGGTTGTGCTCGGCCCATTATCGTGTTTTTGTTCTCGTTCAGCTCTCACGCAGGCTGGAGGGTCTTGTTTGGTAGGGATATGATACCAGGGTCCTGTCTGCTGTCTCGTTTGCGGCTGTTGGACCAGACGTCAGTTGTTTGGTCTTATCTGTATTTACTTGCCAACGGACGGGGTATGGGTCGCGGCTGTGTCGTGGAGCTGGTGACCAGTACCGCGGCTGTGTCCGGGTCTGCCTGGTGTAACGGCCGTGGTCTGTGTGCCGCAGTCCTGGTCTCCGTCCGGCGCGGACGGCTCGGCGGCGGAGGCCAGCGCCGGGGGCTCGGGTGACGCGACCCACTGGCAGGCCGGCGACGGCCAGGTGAGGCCGGGAGCACCGCGCCGCCGGTCAGACGGACGGACCGCGCCGCCGGTCAGACGGGCGGACCGCGCCGCCGGTCAGACGGGTGGACCGCGCCGCCGGTCAGACGGACGGACCGCGCCGCCGGTCAGACGGGCGGACCGCGCCGCCGGTCAGACGGGCGGACCGCGCCGCCGGTCAGACGGGCGGACCGCGCCGCCGGTCAGACGGGCGGACCGCGCCGCCGGTCAGACGGACGGACCGCGCCGCCGGTCAGACGGGCGGACCGCGCCGCCGGTCAGACGGGCGGACCGCGCCGCCGGTCAGAAGGACGGACCGCGCCGCCGGACACAGCAGACACACAGCCCAGGCGGCCAGACGGCCGTCCCTTGATGGCGCTCCGGTCAGGCAGCACGCGCGCTCTCATTGAGATGGCTGGACCGTAGGCAAAGTCCCTCGCCGTCTGGACAGCGCCGCTGCTGATCAGCCACTTTTGTGGGGCGCGTGACAAGCGTGGGCAGCGCGGTCGGCCCGGGCACGGGTATTGATGCGCTCTTGGCTCGGCACCTGACTTTGGGGTGTTATGAGGTCTGCTGCGCTGCGGCAGTGAGTCATGTGGTCTCCTCCCCGAGGAGTGGGCTATGTTTGACCTCCAGCCTTTCGCGGCGCTGGGTCTGCCAGCCTCCCAGCAGGGTTTGGCCGTGGGCCTCTGGGTCACGTGATATGTGGCCGTGCAATTTGGCTACTCGCCCAGCTGGATTTATTTTATGATCGTTTTTGTTAAGCGGTATTCTTGAAAAAGGAGTGCAATTTATAACTAAAACGAAAAATTGTGACTTGGAGCGCCCGAGGTCATCTCATTCAATGTCACTGTGCGAGGCGTTTGACAAGACGTTTTGTCCAACGTCATGGGTGTAACTCATCTTGTGTATTATTTTCTAGTCGGTTGATGTTCTGCATGCTGGGTGACAGGATATTTTATTTGTGACCGTTTTGGGGGATCAAAGGGAAGCATGTGAAGCTCGAAGGAAACCGAAGTCACAGCAGTCTTGTATGTACTTTGTTACACACACATAATGTTAATAATGACAAATCAGAACCAAGTCTGAATTTCAAACGCGTGATGAGGGGCTACTCATGACTTTGACACAATGACAATATGCGTTGTAGCTGGAGTTTAGAGTTG